CAGTAGGTGCTCAGCAAACATCAAATGAGGAAGAGGAGGATGGAAGGAAGAATGGAGAGGCGACAGAGGCACTGACATCCACCCAGCTCACCTTTTTTCTCTATAGTCCTCAGTGCTGGTCTCCCATTCTCTCCATCCCCTCACTTTTCTGAGGGTTGGGGTGAACTGAGATCTCTAAACCCCTTTTTCTAGATATATATGCATTCTATAAGCTTGGTCTTGACCTGAATCATCAGGTAGTTGAAATATTAAAAACATCAACCCAGAAACTTGCTAACTACGGCGGGGCCTGTAGTTCTAGTCCTTGTAGTTTTCTACTTGAATTATAGTTAGGCTCTTATCCTCTCCAGGTCATCCTCCCTAGTCTGTCCTAATCTACACCCTCTCGTGTCCTTAAAACATAACTTTCATCCTGTTATTTTGCTGCACAAGAGTCTTGGCATATTTCTCCATTTCCTATCAAGTTCAGTCCAAAATCCTCATCAGTCCTACATTCACGGTTTTTCATAACCCTTCCACACTTAATTCCCACTTCGCTCCTTCTCCAAGCCAATGCTGCAGATAAATTGAACTACTTAGGCTCTCCTTTGTCTGTTTTACTTGTACACTCTTCAACCTTATCTTTGCCAGCAGGTTTCATTCCTGGTATCGCCTGTCTCTTCATCTGTATGAGTTCAATTGCTAATCATTCTTCAAGTCCATTTTAAAAGATTACTTCCTCTAGTATCACCTAACAAATGTTATTCCCAACGTTGTCCCCTCACCATCCCCTCTCCACTGGTTCTTCTTCCACTGAATTCCAAAAGCATTTCTCTCTTTTGCAACCTATCATTTTCTGCCTTATACTGTAGTTATGGTTTTTACAAGCCTGTTTCCCTAAAAATAATATTATTAAGCACTGAAAGGGCTAGGGTGGAAGACTTGCTCATCTTTGCATGCTCTATGGTGTCTCATAATATTTAAGTTTAAGCTCCATTACTAGATTCTACTAATAATGAACTATGTGATCTTGAGCAAGTCATTTAACCTGTTTGAGTCAATTTATTCATAAATCAAAAATACATTCTAATTCAACAGTCTTAATTTGAGATGGTTTAATTACATACTTGGTCCCGCACAAACAAGAAGACTTGAAAGCACATATCAAAATAAAAATTCCTGCATGACCTCGACAAAACTTAAAAGTATGGCTGCTCTAGCTGTTTCCACTGATGAATTCCTGCAATTTTTTTTTACTTACTTGGATCAATATAGAGTTGGGTTATCATTTAAACCCAACTTTCTGTTTATCATTGCTATAGCAGGTATCGGTGACATAATCCACTCCTCAATTTCCAATTAGTATAGCACTATTTTCATGTATTTGGAGGGAATCTTTCATTTAATTATTTATTCATGAATATTTACTGAGCATCTGTTAACCAGTTATCTTTCCAGGTGATGGGCTTCACCTTTAGTGAGTAGAAAAGGAGAGAACTGCTAGTATAATTAAGGGAGATTTTTTTCTAAGTTAATGATTTTATACAATCTCTCTCGTTTGTAAATCATGAAGGTTTTAGACCACTTTATGCATGCTAAGACTCAAAGCAAATGCTCCCATGGTTAATGTTTCATAAAAGCAAAAGAAAAATGCCTATTTTTTTCATTTGTCCAGATAATGTAGGGAGTGAGTGCAAAGTGCTTCCACTCAATCCTTCTAAAGATAATACACTGGAAACATTTTGGTGGGTGTGAATCACTCAAACAAGCATTCTTCACTCAAAAATAGAAACTCGCCTTATTTGTTCCAGATGTTATACAGCTGCAGGGAAGTTAAAGCCAGTGGTCCTGTTTTCAATGCAACCAAACTCTTATTGCATTTGGAATTTCTTAACCAATGAACACATATTATTTGTTCTAAGACCTGCACAATTTTCTTTTTCCACTGTAACCATTCACAAACAACTATGTTTCATGGGAACCATACTTCAGAATTAATGAGTCCACATCTGTGCTGTACAAAAGAAACACATCCTGTTTATCACTGTTTCCGCCTTTCATTTATCTCGACCTCTTTAATTTGAAGCATAAAATATTTCAAACAGAATACTTGAAGGGAAGGAATAGGAGAGTTGAGTTGCACTGTTCTTACAATGTTTTAGAGTACCTTAACTGTGGAGTTAGTTATAAGAAGGTGTTTATCTTAGGAAGAATTTCAAGCAAAATTATTAAGAAAAATATTGAGTATGAAATGTAATTCTTATCATTGTGCATTAGTAGTTTTAAAAACTTGACATTTTAGCTTATTTCTTGATTCTCCTGTAGGTCTGTAACAGATGCTAAGTGGATGAATAAAATATAAAAGGATCAGGGCTCTTTGAAGAAGGCAAATACATTAAGAAATTATATAGGGGATATACAGGTTCATTTTATATCTCACCATAAAAATTAAAATATATGTGTTATATGAACACTTATGTTTCAGAACAGAGTGCCAGATCTCTTGAGATTATTATTATTTTTTATGAAGAAGGTTTTCTCAAATTGTATTTCATGGACAATCTGTAGCACACTCACACTGGCTGCTTATGAAAATAAGTACTTGTGGACCCAGTTGAGTCAGAATCTCTGTGAATTGGGCCTGGGGCTGTAGAGGGACCCTAGAGATCAGAAAACAACAACACTCGGGTCTTCCAGTTGTGGACATGAAAGCTCAGGAAGGTTAAATGAATTTCTCAAGGCCTTGCTGCCAGTTAATAAGAGAGGCCTAGAATTTCACTTATTGATACTGAGACCAATAGTCCTTGCCAGTAAGGCAGCTATTAATTTTTATCTTCAAAAGATAAAATTTAAATAAAATTTAAAGAAAGGTAAGTATCCAAATATTATCAGGTATCCCATCCAATAATTCTTTACTCTTATCACTAACTAAATCCTTGTTCTCTCTCTAGGATTTGGAAATACAGTGTACTTTTCTGTCAGATGCATCATGAATCTTTTCAACGATAATCAAGATCTTCCAGAAAAAAAATGAGGAAAATGTCACATTTCATGTATTGTTGACTAAATCTTTGAAAAGTGTTTTAGTTCAAGTTATTTGAAGCATGTTCAATTTGCATTTAATAATGATTCCAGAAAAACCATAAAAACTATAATTCATGACATACAATCTTGAAGTACGTATATGCCAATAGTTAAAATAGAGCCCTCAAATAGTTTAAGTGTGATGTCATTCAAAACTGATTCAAAAATTTGTTTCACACATCTTAATGAAGCTATTAATAATTTTATATCTTTTCACACACACACACACACACACACATATATATATATATATATATATATATATATATATATAAAACACAGTACAGCTTTCTACAAGGAAAATACACTGTAAATGCTATTTATTAAGTTTTCTATACTTTGCCCCAACTGACAACATTTGACACCCATTTATGATAAGAGATACCACTACAGAAAAGGAGTGCTGATAAGCTTCCCCGGTATTCACAAATTTATAATAAATATGGCCCTAAAGATTTTCAGGTCTAGTCCTTCATTTTACTAATGAGAAACCCGAGACCAAAAAAAGAGTAGTGGTTTTCTGAAGGAGATAGTATTGTGTCAGAAATTGCTGCCTCAACCTCTCTTTTCCCTTTTCCTGAATTCCTGTTTTCAGGTGATTGTATGACCATCTGAATAAAAACAACATTTCCTAGTCTTCCATGTAGCTGGATATGACCGTCTGACTAAGCTCTTGCCGTGGAACATATGGGACTATTTGTGTGGTAGCTTTTGGGAAACGTCTTTAAAAGGCAGTGGGCGCATGTCCTTTGCATCCTCGGAATTCCCTTTGTAACTTCTGTGTGGAATGTGGTGGTTTTGGCTGGAGACCTATTTTGGCTTATGAGGATGAAGCCCACCCTGACCCAGATGATGATGGAGCTGCCATTCCAGCTTTGGCCTGACACTGTCTACACTCACACATGGGAAAGAAAGAAGCTTTTTCAAGTCATTGTCTTGGAGTTTCTGATACTTGGAGCTGTATCTGATTAAAGACAGTCATCCATTTCTTGCTACAGAATTTCATTCATTCATTCTTTGAGCACATAGTTATTGAGCACTTTTTATGAGCAAGGAACCATACTAAGTGGATATGAAACAAAAATAATTTTATTTCTGATTTTTAGTTTCTAAAAAGTTTTGGAAAAGTGTTTATAACCAGACTCCCCTTTGCCTTTGGCCTGTCCTTGCACCTATCCCAGGCATATCATACGTCTCCTATTCCTTTCACTATGAAAAAATATTTTTCTTGACTTTGGATTTTAGACTGATGCTGTCATGTGAGTAAAATATTTTCAAAAGTTAAAAAAAAAAGCATACGCCACTCAAGCACATGTGCCTTTAAGTAAAGTTTTAACCTTCACCCCCAAACAGGACAAGTCATGATTAAAAATCATGATATAAATGCAGTCTTTGAAATATGTAAGATGTAAATATTTGTCTTTGGACAAACTCAAAATATCACAGGTCATATCTTTAAAATATTTAAATATAATGTATTTTCTAAGTTCATACTTAGAAAAACACTAAAGGCCATGCTGTTTTCAGTGTTAGTTACATACAAAAAGGGATTTCAGAATTCTGGGTGAGGTGAGAGTCTCCCTTCCCTTAAAATGACTCATCTCCCTGTTTATAGGAAACAGGGATTGGAGATCCTCAGAATTAGAACAAACAAATGCATGACAAACTGGCTCCCTGATCTAATTCTGCTGCTAGGAATAGATAGAGAAGTGTTCCCATTTGTAAGTGTTTTTTAAATCCCCCCCAAACTCTTCCTTATTGATTTCTGACAATTTATTAAGTTTTGGAGTTTTTTAAGAATAGTACATGCTTGAGGTTTCAACATAATTTTTCATTTCTAGATTTTAAAACTTAAAGCTACCCAATATTTACAAGATTTTTGAAGAATGGCATATACATACAATAACACTTGGAGATCAATGGAAAAGCAGACTTACCTTTGGGTCCACGTTGAGAATTTTTCTGTCTCTTTTGTATTTGAAAAGTAAGCCTTCTGGATTATCAGCGATCACTTGGTAATTGGGAGTTGAATTCCAAACAGCAATATGACTTTCCCAGTTGTAAAAGCTATAAAAGTAAATATTTATTAGGAATTAATATATATAATACATTAAGCTGACAAATATACTTCAGAAAATATTTGGGGCAGCTCAGTTTCAAGATAAATGGATCAGACCATAGTCTGCACAGCCGTGTAGAACACGTGTGCTTAAAATTCTTGCAGAAGAGATCACACTGGGTTATTCTCAAATCATTTACGTATTTCTCAAATCAGATACATATTTATGGATATTTTGCATGATTTCCCGGTTTGGACACTCTAGGACTTAGGGCCTATTCCAGGATTATATTCCCAGGAAGTTAAGAAGAAAATTGATGCAATTTAAAGCTATTTCTTCCAGCGCAGACTCTTCAGGGTATTAAGAGTATTTAGGGTTTTCAGAGACTGTTTACCGGAAGGAAAGGCAGGTTAAGTCACCTCTTCTCATTCAAGAATAAATTAATTCATTTCTTTCAGGCTCTGTTTTTCAATATTATTTCTCAGGGAGTGAGGGAGCAATTTGCATCTGATAGGTTACATTGGCCAGGCATGATGTGATGTATTCTGTCACAACCCATGTAAAGCAGCTCTCATTTCATAGACAAGGTGAGTAGACTAGGGGAAGTCAAAAGCGTAGTTAAGGCTCTGCAAGTAATACGTCATGAAATTAATATTTCAGCCCAGATCTGTGTATTTCAAAGCACACATGTACTCTTTCTATCGTTCAACATTGCCTGCAGTTTATCCTTTTATTTTATTTTTTGTTATCTATGGAAATGCCCTATTTTTTTCCAGGTCTTGTTTTGTACCTACTTATCAAAAATGAATTTAACACTGTCATATGATTTGGAAGAATCCTCAATATACTTATTTTACATATCTCATTCCTGTGAACACATTTCTAATGTTATTTGAATATGTTCAAATATTAACACATTCCTAATATGTCTAATAATGTCCCTTTTCTGGTTTGTTTTGCCCTCTATTACTCCTCTTCTTCATTTTGAAAGAGAGTTCATTGATTAAATTAACTCTGAATTATATTGTTTTCTGGGGCATCAAGAACTTTTGTGCTATAACCTGAAAATGCAATGTTTACCCTCAAAATTTTCAATACTCAGAAAGGACTGATTACATAAATCATATATTTATATCCCAGGCATGTAGTGAGAACTAGTTCTCTTTCTTCCTCCACTACTCTTTCTATGTCCAAGACATAGGAGTGTCTGCCCTTTCTGAGGCACCGAGTTAGGAAACGTGGTTTTCCAACTATCTTTGTTTAGTCGGTCCTCCTAAAGAGAGAAGGAATGAGTAATAACTATGTGTAGTGCCAGGTGGGTACTAGACTAGTCAGGAGGATCACTTTGTAAATTATATAAATGTCTAACCACTGTGCTGTACACCTGAAACTAATATCAAATACTGAATGTGAACTGTAATTGAAAAACTAAAAAAAGTAGGGGGGGAGGAAAGGTGAAGGGGAATAAGAGGTTCAAATGTCCAAGTATAAAACAAATAAGTCATGGGGATATAATATACAGCACAGGGAATATAGTCAATGGGGATATAATACACAGCATAGGGATGTAGTCAATAATATTGTGCTAATGTTGTATGGGATTAGATAGTTGCTGGACTTATGATAATCACTTCTTTAGGTATATAAATGTTGGATAACTATGGTGTACACCTGAAACTAATATAATGTTGTATGTTAGCTATATTTTAATAAAAATCTTGAAAAAAAAGAAACATATCAATGAATTAAAAAAGAATAAAAGAGAGCAGGGATGAATATCTGGTGCATTGAGGAAAGGAGCTGAGCGTCCATGGCTTTCTGGGTCCTCCCTTTAGCGAGCCTTCATAAGTGAAGCCTGTCATGGTGGACTCAGCCCTCTATAGGGTGATGGGAGTCAGCAGCCTATAGTGCTGGTGATAAATTCAATTCACTGCTAAAGGTATTAGAAGACAGTTTAACTATGTACTCAGGCTGGGTTCTCTAATGCAATTCAATCCATAACAGATAATTTGACCTTCATCTTACTGGCTGTTCAGATAGGAGATTACTAAATTGGAATAGTGGACATAGGTGTGATTCTAAACCTTACATATAAGTCTCTCTAAATAATTATTTATGAAATGTGTACATATCGGTAATACCAGTAAAATGCTTGAGTCATAGCAATGCTTAGAAGTGTCATGGTTTATATCACACCTATCTTGTTGCTCAGACCTTTAATGAAAAGCCTTTTCAAAGTCCCAACAGATTGTATGTATACATATATACATATGTATATATACAAACATATATACACATATATTATAAATACATATATATGTGTATATATATGTATATATATATTACTCTTTATATTAAAAAGTTAATTTGTAGAGCACATGGTATGGTGAAGCAATTTAGATTGTTTGTCAATACTTTTGTTCTTCTGGTATGGATGGGAAACAGGTTTCATTTCAAATCCAATTCTAATAACTAATAATTATTAGTATTTAATAAAGATAATGAACATTTACTTAATAATTATCATGTGCTGGGTATTGTTTTAAGCCTAATAAATCTATTATCTCATTTAATCTTATCAACCCCATGGAGTAGGTAAAGAATTATCCCATTTTAGACATGCAGAGCCAAGGTGATCCTGAAGCGTACTTGGATGAAAATGAGGGGCTGGATTTGAGAAGATACTCAAAAGTGGACTTAATGGTGAAGAAAGAGATATTGGTGAGAAGAGTAGGATTACTCTCAGATTCCTGGTTTGAATTACTAAGTAGTTGGAATTATTTACTAGGATATAAAATATAAGAGAAGGAACAGATTGCAAGAGGTCGGAGCAGAGGGTTCATTTTTGGTCATGTTGAAGCTGAAATCCCCGTGAAACGCCCAAGAAAATGAAAGTAAGAATCTTTGTGTTGTATACTGCCCTATTTCCAAATACTGCCTCTCAGCCCATCCCTGACACATAGTAGATACAAAATGCATATTAACTGAATAAATACATAATGGATGAATTTCTGAACTTTAGAGTTTTTTAAAGATGAAGTAATAGATCTGAAAGTACAGTGCATGAATTCAAAGAAGTGGCTGAGCCAGACAAAGAACACAGAAACAAGGATGAAATCTGGGAACATCAACTTTACAGAGAAGGAAGCAGGAGAAGCAACCGAGAATGAAAAACAGTCATCTGAAGGCTCAGAAAAAAACAGGAGAGAGTCATTTTGTTGCAAAAACTGAAAGGAGATTATATTATGAAAGAGCACTTTGAGAAAGACAACAGTGACAAATGCTTCCTAAATTAGGTGAGGTATAAGACAAGTCCATCAAAGTTTGCATTTGGAAGGATTTTACATGGAGAGAAGTTGCAGTGAAGTGGAGAGAGCAAAATTCAGGGAATTTAAGGGAAAATGAGAAATGATTAATTACTGTATAAAATTAATTCCTTTAAGAATTAAGTTGTGGAGAAATCAAGAAAACTAGGACAGCATTAGATAGGGATATAAAAAAAATCAAAGGACAGGATTTTTTCTTTTCTTTTTTTGAAGATGGAATATTCTTGATTATATTTTCATGGTGTGAAGAGGAAAAAATAGAAAATGCAGGACCCTAAAGAGGTAGGAACTGTAAAAAGGGCTTTGTTATAAAACATATATGAGAAGATTTATTTAATATGCAACAGTACTAACCTATTCCTTTATCTATGTAGACTAATTTTATTTTAGTAAGAACCTTGCATGTTATTTATTATAATTCCTATTATACAGATGAGAGAACTGAAGCAGAAAGAAGATAATTACAGTTTTTAAGTTTAGATATTTAATCAGTACTAGAATACAATCTCAAACCCAGACTATAAATCTAAAACAAATTCTCTTTAAAAAAAATTTTCATTGTAGTAAGAACACTTAATAGGAGATTTCCCTTTCTAACAAACATTTAAGTGTACAGTACATTGTTGTTGACTGTAGGTACAATGTTGTACAGCAGATCTCTAAACTTATTCATCTTGTTGACCTGAAACTTCATGCTCACTGTTTAATTCTCCAATTTCCTCTCCCCTCAGCCCCAGGCAACCACCATTCCACTCTTTGATTCAATGAATTTTACTATTTTAGATACCTAATATAAGTAAAGTGACTTTACTTATATGTCTTTCTGTGACTGGCTTATTTCACTTTGTAGAATGTCCTTATGGTTCATCCAGGCTGTTACATATTTCAGAATTCTGTTCTTTTTAAAGGCTGAATAAATAGTCCATCATTGTATAGATCACATTTTTGTTATCCACTGTCAATGGACTTTAAATTTCCACATTTTGCCTATTGTGAATAGTTTCTTTTAGACCACATAGAGTTGAGTGGTTTTTGTTTTTGTTTTTGTTTTTTAATTAATTCATTCTCTCTATATCTTTTGATTGAGGTGTTTAATCCACTTACACTTAAAAGTAATTATTGATAGGAAAGAATTTTACTCTTGGCATTTTATTGTTTTCCGTTAGTCTTAGAGTTCTTTTGTTTGTCTTTTCCACTCTTGCTGTCATCCTTTGTTTTTGTTGGTTTATTTTTTTATTGATATAGGATAATTAATTTATCTTATTCTTTTGTATATCTTCTATAAGTGTTTTAAATTTTTTGTAGTTACCTTGGGGTTCACATAAAATATCTTATAGTTGTAACAATAAATTTTAAGCTGATAATAATTTAAATTCAATCACACATACAAACATTACACTTTAACTTCTCCCCACTGTGTACTTTATGTTATTGTTATCACAATTTACATCTATTCATACTATATGTCTTTCAATGTTTTTTTAGTTATAGTTATTTTAAAAACTTTTATCCTTTAACTTTTATAGTAGAATTAAAAGTGATTTATCCTTTACCATTACAGTAATACAGTACCCTACATTTGTTTATCTATTTAACCTTATCACTGAGTTTCATACGTTCTTATGCTACCATGTTTCTGTTTAGCATTATTTTATTTCAACTTGAAGAATTCCCTTTAGCA